CAAAGATCCACCTGCCTCTGCCTCCCAAGTGTTAGGATTAAAAGCATGTGCCACCATTACCCCAGTGCAGCCAGTGCTCTTAATCACTAACCACTAAGCCATCTGACTACTCCAGCTGTGTTTTAAAAACATGGTTTCAATTCATTGACTTTTTCTAAGTGTATAACATTTCTTTGTGGCATCATTCTTTTCTGTAAAAGTTTCAAGTGACTTTCTTTGAAGAGAGCTATTTAATACCAATGATTGTAGGAAACATTTGTTCATAATTATCCAGACAGCCAACTAGAACAATGCTGAAACAAGAGCAGCATGCAAAAATGTATTTAAGGACTATCATCCCAAAATGCTGCTAAAAGCTATTAACCAGTGTGTGTTAATTGCCACGGCATTCATATTAATTTTCACTTCAGGCTCGACATTGTGGAATATTTCCCCTGATACATTTTAAACAAAGTTTAATTTAAGGAACTGCTTCTATCAACACTTATGAAAATTAACAGTCAAGCAATTAGCACTTGTGAATTATCCCTTCCCCCAAGCTCTCTGCAATTCTGGTTAAAACAGTTTCTACTGGAGGAATGGCTACTTTTTTAACAAGTTAACTCAATCAAAATCACAGCTGTTGGTGGGAACCAGACCTCTTTTGCTTTTTCAAGCCCTTGTCAAGGCAAACACCTACCACACGTTTGAGGAATAGCATTTAGCTATGGCACAGTAGGTAGGATACCTAATGTTTCATTACAACTGCCAAACAATTACTAATACCCAACTATCTTTCTGACTGATTTTAGTAGCCATTACCGTCCAAATAAATAAGTTAACGAGTATGTAAATAAATAATTGTTTTTGCTCTTCCTGTGTCTCAAACAACAACTGAACCCCGCCTCTGCCTCCTGAGTTCGGGGATTACAGGGGTGGGCCACTACACCCAAATTTGCAAAACTGTTAACGACACTAGATAAAATCGAATAATGACATTGTTTCCCTACACGAAACAATCCTTTCTTTCAAGCCAACACAGTAACATCTTAAGGAGGACTGCACAGCCACTAGTCTCTTGAGGAAATACATAATTAAGTAGTTTTTTAACATATTTAATTAGACCCCAAACTCTTCCTGTCCCCTTCTCTCCTCAATTATGTACCATTTGCCCAAGAGACCTAGGCAACTCAGTTAATTATGTAAATAAGGCAAGCACTATTCCCAAGGAGAGCATCATGAATATTTGTAAGAAGAAAAAAATAATCAGTGTATGTTTTACTGGCTTTAAAAATTCTTTGCAAATACATATATACTTATATACATGTAGGTACATTACATATAGTATCAAATACATGGAAAACCCTTACATTTGAGGCAAAAAAAAATGTAGTCCCAATAATAAGATGATGAATCATTAATACAGAATACTCATTTCATTTCTTAAATATGAGCTGAATAAAAATAAAAGATTTTAAGTTACAACAGTAACAAAAATTTAGTACTGAATGTCAGATGATTTACAGAAAGAATTAGTCTGGAAATGATTAAAGTCGACTGGCACAGAAAGGCTTTATTATCTGGGGGTTGACACAATCTCAACTCTGGAGGCAGCCATGGCACTGTTAGCACTACTACAATCCCATTATTAGGCAATCACCAAATGCTAATTTGATCATTTTGAGGTGTTATTTGAATAGTCATTTTAATTTCTAGGTTACAAAAAGGCTTGACTCAAGTATAATTCTCTATTAATCACTGAGATGCCATTGACTATCATATTGATGCCTTTTACAAAGATAAAGACTGATTTAGTACTTACAGTACAATATCCTTCAAATACTAGCCACTTTCATTACGTATCTGCCAAATGCATCAATATTAAATAATAGATGAGAACAAGGGTTTAATTGTATTTTAGCATTGTAATATATGGGGTAATAAGAAAATAGCAGGCATTGTAAGATAGACTTATCGATGTATAAACCCTTCTTAGTCAATGCTCACTCTCTACAGATTACCAAAAGGATTAAGAAAACAAAGCATAGGGCAACTTAAATGTAAATACACATCTAACAAAAAATGTCAGTGTGACTGAGGAAATGTTTTTTTTTGTTGTTTTATTTTGTTTTTATTGTCTTTCTGAACTTCAGAAGTTAGCTATGTGTACCAAGAAATGTTCACAACTCTCAGACAACTCCAAGCTAATGAATGGTAAAAAGGAAATTCTAAAAAGTACTATTTTTTACAGTTTGAGCAAGTTTGTTGGCATGGAATTGTTGGCACTAATTATTCTATCAACTTAATCATCAAACAATGAGACTATATCAGCTACAGAAGCAAGTAAATTCCAGCCATGTCCCAACTCAGGATGGCTTCTTACCCATCTAAATGAATCCTCTGCAGTGAAGCTGGAGACATTCCAGAGGCCTGGGGAGCCTTCCTTCTTTTCCCTACATTCCACAGGACTATATAGCATGGACTGACTGAAGAGAAATTCAGTGCAATGCAACCTGAAAGTGATAGTGCTTTTGGGTGTTTTCTGGAGGAGCTCTTGAGCATCTGAGGGCCTGTGTGTAACCACTAATGTGTTTCTAATTTCTGTTCCCCACCCTGACAGTAACAGCCTTCCTGCCAATGGCCACTTGCTGACTTCCACATATGGAAATCAGAAGCACTGTCTAAGGAAAGAAGTTTGCAGAAAGAAAGATATCTTGTTCAAAGATGGTAACTGACAGAACTAGAGTATGAGGAAGAAAAATGCAAACATGAGCAAAGCACTGCCATTTATTAATTGCAACAGTGCTGAAATAAGATAAATTGCCTATGACCCCTCAAGGCAGCAAACTATCACTCAGCACCCCCACACCACTGCCAGGCAGCAAACACAGTGGCAATAAATTAAAAAATCGACTGTCTCCTAAAAAAAGACCCTGCTCAGCTCAGAACTGAGGCTCGTAACAGCACCAACCTCCTCATGAAACAGTGGCCATTTTTTCTAGAAGAAAAATAAACATACTTTAATTTTATAAAAGCAAACTGTTAATACAAATGGAAAAAATAAAATTCACCCATCCTGGCAGTGTCCAATAAGATCCTCCAACAGTGAAAAACCAAAATACAATGACCTAAAAATTCTGAAGAGAAGGCCTCCCAATTTCTATGGCTGTGGACAGTAGTCAGGACAATGCAAAGCACCTACCAGAGCCATGTAGAAGTCTTATCCAATACAACTGCTTCATCAGTCCATCCAGCCCAAATTCAAGTACAAGGAGATGAAACAGGTAAATAGGTACATACAGCCCTCCCTTTGCTTCTACCCATATATATTCATATATGTATGCGTAGATTATATACATTAAAGAGAGAGAGAGGTATATTTTTTAATTGGGTTTGGGAGACAAGTTCTTGCTATGTAGCTCAGGCTGGTTTCAAACTCACCACCCTTCTGCTCTGGTACACCAAGTATTAGGACTGTAGGTATGTACCATCACACTCAACGAGTGTGGCAGGGGAGGGGGTGAGTGGGTGGGTGCATGCATACAAAAATATGTATCTAGGGGAATTAAAGCAATCATGGACTGTCAGAACAGAGAAGGAAAGAATGAGAGAGAACTCAAGACTTCTGTGTTGGCCTTCCTAAATATTACTATGGAAACTGCTGGGAGCCATCCCCAGTGGTGAACAGGTCCCAACAGGGGATATTAAGGTAGGCTAGGAAAGGAAGTGAGCTAGGCCATGATGGTCAGGAGAATCTTACAGCCTGACTAGCAGCCACAGTGCATCTTTATTTATACAGATTTTAGTAAGTAGGGATACATTCATGTTGTTCCAAAACAGATCATACCACTTTTGCTTTTGGACATATGTTTCACTTCCTTTTGCTCATCTTTTAGTCATCATTAATAAACTATGACAGAACAGCATTATCATTTCCAGTCATTTTCCTTCAAGTTTTGACATCATTGATAAACAGTTACCTTTCATAACCATTTTTACTCATCAACCCCATAACAATTTTTAAGAATCTAGAGGCACATGACAGCCTGTTCTCAAGCTGGTAGCTCTTGTGGCTACAAGGACACCAAAACAAAATCTCCAAGCTAGTCTGCGAAGATTGCCATGTCCCAAGCAGTGTATTATTAACTCTTAATGGTCATAGTACCCAGGAAAAATCCTAAGGCCAAAGCTGCTAGAGTTATTATTCGAATTCTGGCATAACACAATATTTACATTTACATTTATATATTTTTTAATATTTTATTTATTTATTATGTATACAACATTCTGCTTCCATGTATATCTGCACACTAGAAGAGGGCGCCAGATCTCATAATGGATGGTTGTGAGCCACCATGTGGTTGCTGGCAATTGAACTCAGGACCTCTGCAAGAGCAGTCAGTGCTCTCAACCTTTGAGTCATCTCTCCAGCCCCTACATTTATATTTTTATAGAATTTGTCTATATGTCTAATCCTAACATTCTGGTGTTCCTTGGTCATATGGCACCACAGTGGCTATGCATACGCTAACTTTTCTAAGAAGGGAAGGTCTTGACATCTTATTCTTTTATGGTCTTTCCACTCCGTTCTGTGTTCATCAACACATGTCTCTGAGTAAGACAGAGGTAACTTTAGCTAATCTAACTTTGTTTCTATATATGCCACATAATTGCCTGAGTGGGAAGAGGCTTGCAATCTGAACTGTGGCCAACTCCTCTAGCCCACTGAATCCTGTTGACCTTTTTTGAGTTTACTTTGTTTTAAATACCTTGTTCCTACATAAGTACAGGGACAAATGTTTCAAGAGTGTCTCTGTCATAAACTTGTTCAATAGGGTCTCTATCATTATTACAATTCTACAAAGAATAAAAGAACACCAAGAGAAACAATGAGCCCACATTCTTACCTTTTGTATCTATGGTCTTAGGAAATATGGTGTTCTACAATATTGAGGCGCTTTTGAAACCTAAATCTAATAGTGATGATGATGATACCAATAATAAGCCCCCTCTGTCTCAGTTAAAGAGACACCTCTTTATTTTAAACTTACCTTGCCATCAAACTTGGAATACTCATTAAAGGGGTTATTCAGCTGCAAAGGGCACTGCTCCAGGCGTACAGACAATATGGACTGCTTGCCCAAACTTGGAGGCTTCTCTTTGAGGGATTTTTTTTCAAACAGTGATCTTAACTCCTGGGCTGAGATAGAAAAGGAAAAAAAAAAATCGTTATCACTATGTACAGAAGACAAGTTTGTTCACTTTTCCTCAAGTCTTCCTCTGTATCCTAAAAAGGGCATGTGGAGGAACAGGCTGGGCTGACATACACAGAACCCCCTATACACACTTAAGGGTTTGTGCACAGCAGGGCAGAGTGCATGGAGAGATGCTCAGGCCTGAACTATGGAAGGAAGAGTCACTGCAGTGGAGCAGCCATCCTTAAAAAAAAGAGTATTCATAGCTGGGGCACCCAGGCTTCAGCAGCAGTCACTGTTGTGTGACACTAGACACTGCACTCTACCTCTCTGGGTGTGTCAACCTAAAAAACCTCAGAGAGCTCTCTCATGTCCTACCACTAAATGATTTTAGAATTCTAGATGTTTAAGGTCAAAGTCCTTTCCCTACTTTCCAATGGCGCCAGCATAAAATCTTGAGGACAAAAACAGAAAAGGAAAAAGAGGAACATTAGCATTCATTGTGCATGCCAACACAGTTTATTAAATCTTTGTAATAAGCCTGTGGAGAGGGTTATATTACTGCCAATTCTGTCCACATGAAAATGAGCTTGGAATATTCTGGTTAGGCCTAACTCATGCAACCACGAAAACCCCAAGGCTGGATCTATACCAATGGAGACACAAATGAACACATCACATACATAAATAACAATAAAACACAATAAAACTTGCTTCATAAATTAGTGAATAATGATTAAAGGGATTCAAATTAAATCACATCAAATCAGAATCTTCAGTTCTTATTCGTCACTGAATCAATACAGTTCCACATCTTCACAAAGATCATTTAGCACTCTAAATTCACCCGAACATCCATCAAGGTGGTAAACAGATGGCAAGTATATGGGGACCATCATATGTTGTGGGATATTTGTACACTGTGTGAAGGTGTATTGCTGTGATTGATGTAATAAACAGCTGAATGGACAATAGCTAGGCAGGAGGTATAGACAGGATTTCTAATTCTAGGGAGAAGGAAGAGGAGGAGGAGGAATCTAGGAGGGTGTGGTAACCAGCTAAACAGAAAGAAAACAGGAGGTACAAGATGAAAGAGAGGTGACAGAACACAGATTAATATAAATGGGTTAATTTAAATTATAAGAGCTAATTGAGACAAGCCTAAGCTAAAGGCCAAGCTTTCATAAGTAATAAGTCTCCTTCAGTTTGGAGGTCTGGACAATCTATGGGGTCACTGGTAGTGGATCAATATTTACCCCTAGGACACAAATGGACTTTGGGAGCCCTCTCCACATAGAGCCTAGACACACTGGGGAGGCTCCAAATGATATGACAGACTTTGAAGATACTCCATGGGAGGCCTTCCTGGGAAGCAGAAAAGTTGGGACAGGGGATTGGTGGGGTGTAGGGGAGGAGGGGAGGGAGAGAGAACTGAGATTGACATGTAAAAGAAGCTTGTTTCTAATTTAAATTTTTAAAAAAGGGGAAAAAAAGAATTTCCTTCTTGGAATGTATCAGATAAGCCTTGCACTTTCCCATCACAAAGAAAATAGAAAACAGCTAGCTCTCCCAGGACTTGACCATTATCTCAATTTTCTCAGGGTCCCCTAAAGATGCTGTTGTCCCCAGACAACAAGAAGCAGTCTAGAAAACACAATGCCCACACTCCCAAGAGGAGGAGTGGGTGATTTTTGGTCAATTTGGTGGGGTATGGATGTTTGTTGTCATTTAGAGAGGTTGGTTACAAGTTGTCATTGGTAATGGTCAGTAAAAAGGTTGAACAAAGATTAGATTCAGGGATCTCTTTCTGAAGGGAAAGGGGAGGATATAGAATGAAGAGGTCAAAGGATAGATTGTTGAGTCTACTTTTGAACCACCACTAGTCTCAAATATTTTACATTGGTATAGATTTTTATATATTGATACAAAATTAAGGTTATTTTTGTTATACTGTATATGTGTTTCTACTTTTGTTTAAGGTATTGTGCCTATACAACTCATTTAAAAATGTAACATAAAGTTCTAGTCCTGAAAAGCTATTATTATAAACCATTTAGGATAATTAAGAAGTACAGGTTAATTGTCATGTATAACAATCAAACTTGTAGTAATGTTAGGTATGTTTTCAAGGTCATACAGAAATATATTTTAGATAGATGGTCTTAAAACACTTCAAAGACCTGCAGAATATGGCATTTAAGATGTTTTAATAACATAAGGCTTTTCATGACAGTGAGACATGTCTGGTTTCTGGAAGCACCAATTTACTTCAAAAAAGGATGATGAGCATCAAAGAACCTCCATATGGAGTTTACTTTTATTGTGGCAAAGTTAGTCAGTAGGCAAGAAACTGCCCTTTACTCGACTGCTGGCAGCATGCTGTCCAACCTGGACAAGGAGAACACAAAACAGAGTGACTGCCAAACTTCGCCAAGACAAGGTAGAACAGTCCTTCAAAATATCTGCTTCACAGAAAAGTCTGTTAAATATTCTAGGCATGTAGGCTGAAGACGGATGTTCCAATGTTACAGAGGTAACTTGGGTGACTGTCCAGGTAGCCAGATGTCTCTGTCATTTCTATAGTTTTAGAAATTGTTCCTTTGCATTCCCTGTTTACTCAGGTAGTATTATATCCATCTTGGGTCTCTGAGAGAGTTGAAGATTAGATAGTTATAGTTTTCCTTGTAATCAAATTCAGAAAAGAAACTTATATAAGAGATGTAAACTTTATAAGGTTGAGAAACATAAAACCTATAGTTGTTTATCTAAAGTCTTTTAAGATCTAAAAGGACATTGTTAGGATGGTAATACAAGTTATGGTAGAAAATTGTTTAGGTATAAAGCTCTGGACTCACTAAGATAGGATATTAATACAGTACTTTCTCCAAATTTGCCAGATACATAAACATTTTGAATGTAATTCTTTTCTGATAATTGTTCTTACTGTATATAGTTTTACTATGCTAGAGATAAAACCTTTTCTTTTTATTTAGGCAAAAAGCAAGAAATGCTGTAGGTATTTGTACACTTTGTGAAAATGTGTTGCTGTAATTGGTGTAATAAAAAGCTGAATGGACAACAGCTAAGCAGGAAGCACACATGGGATTTCCAGGGACAGAGAAAGAGGAAGAAGAATCTAGGAGGGCAGAGTTGCCAGAGAGAAAACAGGAGGTGCAAGATGAAAGAGAGGTAACACCACATGACAGATTGTAGATTATTACAAAAAGGTTATAAGAGCTAGTTGAGACAAGCCTAATCTAAACACCATACTTTTGTAATTAGTGAGAAGTCTCTGTGTCCTATTTGTGAGCTGGTGGCCAAAGAAATATCCACCTACAATTATACTTTTTCATTTCATGAATATTAGAAACTGTACAATCTCAGATTTTTAAATCTGCAATCAACAGGTTCAATCCCATTCAACTCTTCAACAATGTCAAATTAATTCAAGAGAAATCAACAGAATTCTCCAATGGTCACTTTATAACTTTTTAAAACTACATCAGCTTATCAACAGGCTAGTGAAGTAAATTCATTAAATGAATCTCTAGAGAGTTAGTGCATGAGTCAAATGGCAAAGTGACCCCTCCACAGGGGACAGCTTCCAAAGCTCCATAAGAGTACCAACTCCTGTAAACACACTCATATTGCCACTTCCAGACAAAGATGGGCTACATGTATGGCACTGTTTCTATAAAACTGCATGAACTAGTGGCATCATAACCATCCTAGCTTGTGCCAGCACTTCCTATGATTATACTTGCAACAACACAACTTCTAGACATAATTCTGTGACTATATCTCAAATATTTAAGTGTGCATGGCTATACTGTTTTTCCTATACATACAAACTGATGATAAACTTTAATTTAAAACAGTAACAGTAAAAAGTTATTAATAATTTTAAAGATCATAATATCCTATAACAGGTTAAATTGAAAAATTGTTTATTTCTAAATCTTCCCACACTAAGGTAACCACAGGTAACTAAAACAATGGAAAGCAGAACTGGGGTTGGGGAACAGAGTTAGAAGATCAAATGCTTTAAACACATGAAGCCTAAATCTAGATTCTGGGCATACAAATACAGTTAACCTACCTGTGGTAGTTAAATGAAAAAGGGCCCCATAAGCTCCTATGTTTGAATGCTTGGTCCCTAGTTAGTGGAACTGTTTGGGAAGGATTAGGAGGTGTAGCCTTGTGGAAGGAGGTGTGTCACTGGGGTGAGCTCTGAGGTTTCAAAAGCCCACACCATTCCCAGTGTCTGTTGGTCTTTCAATTCATCCCTCCCTTCCTATCTTCCCCCTTTCCTCTGGTTCAGCATGTAAAGCTCGCAGCTACTGCTCAAACACCATGCCTGTCTGCTGCCGCAATGGTCATCGAAGTCCTCATGTAAATACTTTCTTATGTAAGAGTTGCCTTGGTCAAGGTTATCTCTTCACAGCAACAGAACAGTGACTATGACACATACATCTGAAGAACTTACATTGCAAGATTTAGGTGGTATTTTCAATGTTACAACTAACTTGCTACATGTACTCTATAAAAGTTTTATAGCCATACTGGAGAAAGGAATGGTCCCTTATTAACAGTGCTATGTGCTCTACTGGCTCCACAGAGAAACAGGCAGAGCAGGCATTAGTAACTTACTGAATGTGTTTCCAGTAGGGTTATGCATGAGGTGATGATGTACTAGCTCTTTCTATTAAGACTAATTTTCACTTTAGACTGACAACACTTCCTCTCTAGCTCTCTATGTCATGGGAAAATAAAAACAATCAAGAAGTTTTGCTTGCTCTTACTTGCACATCTTCCTGTCTTTGTTCCTTGAACCATGGAAGAACCTCTCTCTCAGCCTGGTTTCTCCCTTGTACACAAAACCCATACCCCTTTTGCCAAGCCAGAGACACTATTACTTCCTTCTTTATTCCATTTTCAGTTAGTCCGGGCAATATACACAGTACTGCTCATTAAACAAAGAAAACCCAACCCCTTCTTCCTAGTT